ACAAAAGTAATTTTCTGTTAATTAAAATAAAACTCTATTAGATACTGTGTTTGTACATTTATTTTATGATTTTAAACATTTATTAAAGTAATAGTACATTGTGTAACAATAGTTTTATGAAAAATATATTAATGTTGAAATTTAAATACCTTAATATTTATTAAATAATATGTAATTATGAATAAGTAGAAATAATAAGTAAAGTAACTACAGATTTCTTACTTCTTAATCAATGAGATGGGTGTGCCTGGTGTTTTTTTGCAAAGTTCGCTGTATTGGGTTCAAAATTGGTCAATTTTAATTTTCGTCAAAATTGGTCAATTTTAATTTTCGTCAAAATTGGTCAATTTTGTAAAAAAATACGAAGTGTGCTATAGTTTTGCTGCGGGCTGTACTAATCCATATTATTTATGCTTGCCTTCTTGTTTTACATGCATTGATAATTAAAATTGATATCTATACTAAACGAATGGTTTTATCAAAACTATAACTGATTATCCAAAACTATGAAAGTTTTAATAATGACACTGCAAATATTCAACGCTGTTCACAATTTGCAAAGATAGCTGAACCTGAGTATGATATTTGCGTTTGTAACGTCAATGCTTGTCTCACGTGACATTTGGACAAGCGCACATATGCGTTTGATTTATAAACTGTGCTTAGTTCGTGCCATTGCACGCTGATACGTAAATACTTGTTTCACCCGAATAAGTTTATAAATTTATGTTTTATAAAGAAACTGATATTAAGTCAGTTATAAAAAAAATCGCAAATTTTACATACTTAATTNAACTGTGCTTAGTTCGTGCCATTGCACGCTGATACGTAAATACTTGTTTCACCCGAATAAGTTTATTAATTTATGTTTTATAAAGAAACTGATATTAAGTCAGTTATAAAAAAATCACAAATTTTACATACTCAATCAGGCATGTGTAATTTGCATATTAAGAACTGTTTTTTCTTCGACCCTTCCAATGCGGATCGACCCCCGCTTTGTTAAATAGACCCCTGGGGGGTCTATATAGACCACTTTGGTGACCTTTGCTCTAAGCTAATATGGAAGTTTAGCTAATCATTCATTAAGCTTGTGAACTGTTTACGTTGTCATTTTTAATTTGAATTATGGACCACTTTTTTTGCTCTTTGTTTTACTTTTTTTATCTGAATATTCTTTAATAGTAGTGAATTTTCATGATCTCACAAAAATGGTCAAATTTAAGAGTGGATTCTGCACGAAATCCAGTTTCTAAAGAAATTTCAATATGAAAGTCATGTTTGTAAATAAATGTTGTATAACGGAGTTTTATGTTTACTTAATAACATAAAGAACTTCATTTGTTTCAAAAAATAAAACTGTTGAAAAATTTGACATGTTTCTAGCTCTCAAAAATAGGGCCTATTTTCAAGACTTGACTCACGTACAGGAGGCAAGTAATTTTTGAAGTGTGTGCGCAAAATTCGTTCAGAGAAAATTTAAGTAATTGACGAACGTATGTTGAATTTCCCTCAAAATATTCAAATCAATTGAATTATTGCTTTCTGCATTAAAAAAAAAAGTAAGTTTAAAGTTGGCGCAAAGTACAGCACTTTTTCATGCTTTAATTCTTTTTTTTTGAAAAATGATAAGAATAGTAAGATTTGAAAGAAAAAAAACAGTGTTTTTGTAGGTTAGCTTTGCGGATTCATATTAACGATCGCGACAGTGTACAAAATGTGGCAAATTTAAAATGAGTCGCCTTGAGCCACAACATTATGCCAGATGATGCAGGATACAGTTACCCTTTACTTTGATGGGATTAACTACTAAAAATTTGCTTTGCTTGATCTAATAATGTAAAGCAACTGAGAAAATCAACAAATAACAATAAATTAAAAAAAACATCGGAATAATTTTAACTTCATTACTTGTGTCGGTATTTGACTTCAAATCTCGTGCATGAGTCTATAGTGTTGTTCATTACAGATTTATTGATGAGCTTTTTTTCACCCCATAACAAATCAGACCTCTGGGGGTACTGATCCAGGAGTTTCCTTGTCTTCTGGATTGGTTAAAAATTACAAGGCTCCGGAGTTGAACATTAGTAGTCGTAAACCCAAAAGCTGGGTCGGCTGTTCAACGGTGAATATAAAATAAAATAAAAATAAGTATATATGGCAAAATTTTCCCCATAGGAATGATGGCCTTTTTTTATGGCAAACCTATGGCAAATTTTCCNCTTTTTTTCACCCCATAACAAATCAGACCTCTGGGGGTACTGATCCAGGAGTTTCCTTGTCTTCTGGATTGGTTAAAAATTACAAGGCTCCGGAGTTGAACATTAGTAGTCGTAAACCCAAAAGCTGGGTCGGCTGTTCAACGGTGGATATAAAATAAAAATAAGTATATGGCAAAATTCTGACATAGGCAAAGCCCCATAGGAACGATGGCCTTTTTTTATGGCAAACCTATGGCAAATTTTCCTAAGGGACTCCTTACGAGGAACAACCCATTCAGCTAGTGTTAAGTAAAAGAACGTTATGATGGTTTTTGAATTATTATAAACTGATTAACTATTTTAATTATCTTATAACTGCTAAAAATTTGCTTTCCTTAATCTAATAATGTAAATCAACCGAAAAAGTCAACAAATGACAATAATTAAAAAAACATCGGAATAATTTCAACTTTATTATTTGTGTCAGTATTTGTCTGAAAATTTAGTGCATGATTTTGTAGTTTTGCATTACAGACTTTTTGATGCGGTTTTTTCATCCCGTAAGATGTTAAATAAACGAACGTTATGAGTGTTTTGAGTCATTATATATTGATTAACAATCTTTATTGTACAGTGAAGGATTTTCAGCAATCATACATTTTCTGGATCCTCTCTACATCACTTGGTGTCAATCCCTCTTTGTAAAAGGCGTTCTCCAACTTTCTGCCGTTCAGGGCCTCCATTGTCCACACCTTATTCTTGAGGTCTTTGGAGAAAGCTGTGTTGCCGTATATCATGATGGAATCGTAATCGAATTCATTGAAGATGAGGTTTTCATGTGGATTCAGCTTCGTAAACTGCGGCGCCATTCCTGAAACATGCAACAAAACTCTTTCTTAATATATTTAAACAAGGATATAAATCTTCATCAAAATACTACGAATCATTCCCAGAAAGCATCCGACAACCTTGTCTCAGAATTTTCTTTTTATTATCACGAAAATGTTTGTACTCAAAACCTTTTTTCAATAAAGCAAAAATATTGCAGTTTCAAACCTTTCATCCTAAAAGGAATAAAAAATTATTTTTTAAGGCTTTTTTAAAAAGTATTGTTCCTTAGGTGAAATGGTCACTTGAGTCTATGATGACGTCACACTAGAGATAGGATCAAATTGCATTGTCCATTTAAATTTCATGTCAATGTGGATTTTACCTGAGCGTACAAAGAATTTGCGAAAAGAACCTTATAATTACCTAGATTTAAGATTATTTTCACCTTGAGATTAGCTTTATTAAAGGATTTTTTTCAAGCTTGAAAACCTTAAGTCAATCTCGATGAAAGGTTTCTATATAGAAGGTTGTTTTCCAAGGTTTTGGATGAGGATAATGTGCGAGCAGATGGTCACAGATCTCGCTTTAAGGTTAGAAGGTTTACACGTAAACCGCATAACAAACCTTTTAAGGTTTACATTAAAAAGTTTTTGCTGAGTGAAAATAAACCTTATTTTGTTATCTGGGATTATGGCGGTCAATCTCATGAATGGGGAAAAACAATTTATTTGTTGAACGAAACTAAAGCATGCTCTTAACCCCTTAACTGCCGCGGGCGTATATATACGTCTCGGCCAGACGATGCGTTAACTGCTGCAGGCGTATATATATGCTTTCCCGAAGTACGATGCTTTGCCTTGCGCTGCTATAAATAGAACCACACACTCCTACTTCAGAATGCAGTAAAATGACCTTGAAAGTGTTTGCTTTGCAAATGTATTACAGTACAGAACCCGTTATCCGGAAATCAGAAAACCGGAAAACCAAAAAACCGGAACGAAATTCGATTAATTTTACCCGCTTAAAAAAAAAAAAAAAAAAAAAAAAAAAAAAAAAAAAAAAAAAAAAAAAAAAAAAAA